AGATCCACTATACGCTAGAAGATACCCAATGTGACGATGACTTTATCGTATTGGATTTGGATGACAAATTTGATGTCATCCTTGGAATACTGTGGCTCAGAAGGTACGAACCACGGGTAAACTGGCAACATCGAACTGTAACGATGCCTGCCGCTTGTTCATCAGATGGCCATCTGATGAACGTTTTGGAGCGTCCACAAGCGTGTGGATGTACTACGAGTGAGTGCGATGGCCTTACTTGTGGTACGGTCGTTAGTACGACTGCACAAAACCTTAGTGTACCAAACGGTTACACTTCGGAGCAAAGTTCCGGCGGCTGTGAGGAAACACAGGCTGCGCCGAAGGTCCACCACTCGAATAAGTCGGGTGGACCGGGACAAAGATGTATCCCTAGCGGGGAACATCTAGAAGAGAAACAATCGATCGCTCAGGTTAAGCGAAACGATAATCCTAGATCGACTGGAGAGTCTTTCGTAGAGGATCTCGCTGTGGTTGCGCAACCCCGGCTAGAGGAACTAAAGGGAATAAGTCCCGATATTACAAATACGGCGGAAATAAGTTCCCCGAAACCCGCGGGAATAAGTCCCCGGGAAGCCGAAGGAATAAGTCCTTCGAAGCCTGAGGGAATAAGTCCCCAGGAAATGACAGAGACACTAAATGTCCTAGTCAATGACGGATCAAGTGTAGGCGCTTATACACTTGATCTGATTGCGCCTCCGAAGTTGACTTCGGAGATCACTCAGTTGCCAACGCTCGAACATAAAAGGTTCTTGCGTGATCTGCGTAGTGGCAAAGTCAAGCAGATCTGCGTACTCGTCGCTGACGACGAGTGTGTAACCGACATAAGGTCAGCAACAGTGTTCACTGATAACGAGAGAGTTCTCAGTAGTTCATCAATGGACGAGAGTGTCCTCGATGAAAAGACACGAGTTGAGCGATATGACTCTCAATCAAGGGAATCGCTCAAGACAAATCCTCTCTATGAAGATTTGGTTGAATTCAAGGATGTATTCCCTGAAACTGTTCCGTGCGAATTACCGAAGGATAAAGGTATTCGACACGAGGTCGAGCTTAAACCAGGCTCGAAGTACTGTGTCATGAAGCAGTGGCCACTGCCTCGTGAACAAGTACTTGCGATCGACAAGTTCTTTGCCGATCGTTTAGCTGCGGGCCATGTGAGGGAATCAACTTCCCCACATAGCTCTCCGACCTTCTGTGTGCGAAAAGCAACAGGAGGGTGGCGGATAGTGCATGCATTTAACAAGTTGAATGCTGCAACGGTACCGGATCAGAAGCCGATACTAAGGAAGGACGTAGTCATTGATGGTATGTCAAAGAGTACCATCTTCTCGTCCATGGATTTGATGGATGGCTTCTATCAAATCCTTATGCGAGAACGGGATATAACCTATACCGCAGCTAGCACGCCTAGCGGCATGCTCTGGGAATGGCTAGTAATGCCACAAGGGCTTAGTAATGCCCCTGCCACGTTCATCAGATGTGTATTACATCTGTTGAGACCGGTACGAGAATTCGCGCCGAGTTATTTCGATGACGTATTCATCCATAGTCGAGCTATGGACGGAAAGTCGGACGTTGAGGTTCACAGGTACCACGTCCGACAGGTTCTTACAATCATGCGAAAGCATCAATTGTATGCAAACCTCAAGAAGTGTATATTTGCAGCAAGCGAAATACCACTTCTTGGGTGCATCGTTGGTAAGAACGGTGTACGTCCTGATCCCGAAAAGATCAAGGCGATCACCGACTGGCCTGTTCCAGTTGATGTCAAAGGTCTTCGAAAATTCCTTGGGCTAGCGGCGTATTTGCATAAGTATTCACGCAATTACGCCGAGATAACTGTACATCTCTCTCGTTTGTTGAAAAAGAACGAGAGGTGGTTATGGAACGCTGAATGTCAGCGCTCCTTTGATGGTATCAAGCAGAGCTTGATACAATCCCCAGTCCTAGCAATAGCCGATCAGGACAGGCCATTTCATGTGGTCTGTGATGCCAGCGATTTCGCAATCGGCTGTGCATTAATGCAGTACGACCTAGAAGGCGTTGAACGCGTCGTCTGCTATCAGTCGCGTCAGCTGCAACCAGCTGAGCGGAACTATCCAGTGCATGACAAGGAACTCCTTGCCATGAAGTATGCACTCGCGAAGTTCAGAGTCTATCTATTAGGAGATAGACCCTTCATTGTTTACACTAACCATGCGTCGTTACGCACGGCAGTGAACAGCCCGCACCTTTCACAACGAATGGCGCGGTGGTTGTCATTCTTTGCAGAATACAACTTTACGGTCGAGTACAAACCAGGACGACTTAATGTCGTCGCTGATGCACTCTCACGTCGTCCCGACTTTGAAACAGTCGCGAAACCCAACAGTGAGACAGTCACTGTTGCGGTTATGACGTCCTCAGTCCCATCTACAACGTTGTATGATGATGTGAGGTGGGCATACGCCCAAGCTGGTGAGATAGTGAAGTTGTTGACACATCTCTCCCAACCATCTCGAGAATCGTTGAAACGATTGTCGTCTGCGTATCGATCTGCATCAGATCGATACACTACTCGCAACGGGTTACTGTATTATACAGCCGTTTCTGGTGACACACCACGTGTTGTCATTCCAGATGATACTGATCTGCGTTTGCGGATCATGTTCGAGTATCACGATGCTCCTATAGGAGGACATCGTGGCCGGGAGAAAACATACCTCACGGTGAGTCGAGACTTTTACTGGCCCCGCCAGTATCAGTTTGTGCGAAAGTATGTTCGCGCATGCGAAGTCTGCCAACGAGTGAAGTCAAGTCCTTCACTGCGTGCACCTTTACAGCCTCTACCGGTTCCGGCTGAGTGCTGGGAATCCATCTCAATGGATTTCGGCTTCGGGTTACCCAAAGACGCACGCGGGAATACGGGTATTCTCGTATTTGTTGACAGATTCAGCAAAATGGTACACCTTGTGGCTGTACCAGAGTAAATCGCGGCAAGTGGCTGTGCTTGTGTCTTTATCGACACCATCTTCCGAGTTCATGGGTTGCCCCGTGCACTCTTATCAGACAGAGATCCACGATTCACTGCTGATTTCTGGCGTTCCGTGTTCAAATCACTCGGAACGCGCTTGAAGATGTCGACATCTGATCATCCAGAGTCAGATGGTCGGACGGAACGAGCCAATCGTGTCCTAAAAGAGATACTTCGAGGATACGTACACTCCTTCAAGAGTTGGAGTGAGTTCTTGCCAATGGTAGATTTTGCCATTAACAGCTCGGTGCATGCTTCCACGACACATACACCGTTTTACGTGAATGGCTTACGCCATCCGCGTGTACCCACCTTACTAGAGTGTAACTCTGGTTTAAGGGGGGGGAGGGACTCGCGCGAGCAAAAACCGATTTGGATCACGCTCATCACGCTCTGACGAAGAGGTCATTGCGTTTGATGCCGATATCGATAACATCGATATCGAAGAAGATGATGCCAGTGAGAGTGCGGAAGCCCTCACTGAAGAAAAGGTTGATGTTGCTGCAGTGCGCTCACAGCGCACTGAAGTTAACGAGTCATCAAATGAGTTCATACTGGCTCGTGAAACGGTAGTCCGTTTTGTGCAAGACTCCATCGCCGAAGCGGTGGATTAAGCAAAATCAAAACGCTGAAAAGAATGGAAGGGAAAACACTCTTTTATTTAATAAAGGTGACTTAGTCCTACTGTCTACGGTTAATCTACCACGACATGTAGTGACTAACTTGGGTAGCAGTAAACTACTACCCAAGTACATCGGCCCATTTCGTGTATTGCACCGACTAGGCAATGCATACACGATCGAGTTGCCACGTAAGATGCGGACGCATCCCACGTTTTACGTTGGTCGGCTTAAGCCGTACCATCAGTACGATGTTTCTTCCGATGAAGAACGCCCTTGCGCTCAAGCATCTCGCAGAGAGCCTTGTGCTTCCGATGATGGGCATCGACAAGGGTCTGAAGAGCAGCTATCTTATCCCGAGACCGATCGAGAATCCCACGAGCTACCCTTAGCTCGTCACGAAGAGATGTCAGAGCTCTCTCGTTCTCAAGCTGAGCAAAGGCAAACTCAGCTCGATGCTTCGAGACAGTGTCCTCCATTTGGAGATGCCTGTCCTGCTCATGTTCGAGATCGCCGCGTAACCCTTGCGTTACGCGATCAAAGAATCTCTCGGGAACACACGGATCCCCATGATCGTGTGAAGAGCTTCTTTCCTCCTCCCCCACCTCCATTAGAGGACTCTCGCGGTGGCCAGCGCTATCTAGTTGAGCAGCTGTTGAACCACCGCGACGTGAACGGACGTCAGACGAGTTATCTTGTCCGGTGGCGCGGCTATCCCCCGTCCTGGGATACTTGGGAGCCCCGCTCCCAACTGATGGTTGACGTACTGGGTCTGGTTGAGCAGTAGGACGCGGCACATCCTGTGCCGCAGAAGGACCGCCGGAGAAAGTCTTCCCGGCACGGTCGTAAAGGGATTTCAAGTTGTCAATCCCTTCGTACATCTCAGTAGAGATACGTACGCGCCACCACGGGCTAGTAAGGAGGTAAGCCTCCTTAGGTGCTCGTGCAGAGTTGTTCACACAACATGGGAACGAGTCTCCCCATGAGAGGCAGGGTAATCCTTTCTCCCTTGACAGACGATGCAGCTTGTAGCGTGCACCTGTCGGGGTTCGTTTTTCAAACTTATCACGAGCTTTGATAAGTTTGTCGTTCCAAGCGTCACGACCTACATCCTCGAGGTTATGGATGTAGGCGTCCCACGCCTGAAGCAGTGAGGGACCATCACGTTTGTGATTCCCACTGTACCATCGATGTCTAAAGAAAGCATCGATGAAGAACTCATTCTCAGCGCGATAGTCTTTCGCACTGGGGTCAAGGTAATGGGTCCTTGACGAATCGAACAACCGTGTTCGATAACGATCACTCGTCGTCGCCGACAAGTGATCCATGACAGATTTGGGAGGCATTTATGCCTTCTTCTCAGGAGCGAGACGCAAGACATTGCGGTCCCGCTCTTCCTGCGATGTGCCGACAGAAGTACTGGCACCTCGTTGCGAAGTGGTGTCCACAGGAGAACCGACACCACTGTTAGCGCCCGAGTCTCGCGACCTCGAGCGCCTTCGCTTTGGCGATGGTTCATCTGATTCATCAGATGAACCAAAGATGCTACGACGCATAGCATCATCCATGCCACGCTTGGCAGGCGGATTAGACCCAATCGCCGTCGATACGGATCCGTCTTCCGTATCAGGAGAGTATGAGACACCGAGCTCATACTCTGTGAAGACATGAGTGTCTTCATGACCAGCGCCTGTATCACCAAGTGGCACAGGCTGAGTCGCTTAAGCAACCGATGAGACATCAGTTGCTGTGGTTTCTGCTTCGGCGTCCGCACAGAGACGTGCAGACGCGCTCTCGGCGGCCTTGCTCGCGCATCGCATGGGCTTGTTAACTATGCGATGAAATGTTGGGAATTGGACTCGGACCAACAAGTGCAAACCCTGTCCCAAATGATTTGGGACGAGTATCCATTTAGTCAATCAGTCACTAAAGTGACTGATGGTTAAGGGGGGGTGATGTATCGGGGTGAATCGTTACATAACAATTTATAAGAAACTGTTAATAGAATATAACTATAAGAGTTATATTCTCAGAATATTGTCATAAGGACAAATATTCTGTAGCACTTACGAGTAGTTCCTAATTGGTTGATATAGGCCATTATATCAACCAACGAAGACGCGCCACGACAGACGCACGCAATGAGTGGTGAGCAGATAGTTGATTTACACATTTGTATTCAGACATAGTTAGATGAAGATAAATAGTGATTTATTGCAGACATTAACTATGATAAATACAGTTCTACTTTTTACTTTAACCAAGTACTCGCTTCTTCTTACCGTCTTCCTCTGCACGTACGAGTGTACGTGAAGTTACGAGGCACCGCCTTATTCTGTCATCAGAATAAGTAGCTTGTACTGTCACCAGTTCAAGCTTCAGGGTGCCCCGTTACATAATTTAAACGTCGCAGACTGTGTCTGGCAGACTTCTGGGAGGAGCAGGCCACTTGGTCGACAAAAGCAAACGCGCGCGTCATTCATAACCGCGCTAGCCACAAACACTGGAAACGCAGGGGACAAGGCAAGTGTTTGATCGCATGGGTGAGACGGGCTGTATAAGTTTATCCATGCACAAAGAGCAGTCATTGAGACGGGAGCTGCAGTGACTACCGACCTACCACGTAGATGTTGCGTCCGAAAGGGCAATCGGACAGAGGTGATCTTCGACCAGAAGCTCGTCGAGCCCGAGTGGGAGACTACTACGTTCAAACTTTGTCGCATTGCTGGCGTCGGCCGAGAGTCGCGAGGCACAGCCTTTGCGGCTCGGGTACGACGTTTCGAAAAGGGAATATTAGCGAGAGAGGTAAACCCGAGATCACGGACGTGAGAGCAGTCAATGCAGCCACGGAAAACCGAAGCACAACTAAAACCAGGAGAAGACAGGCTGGAACGATGGCTTAAACCGCTCGGCGGTGCGGCTCGCGGAGTGGCTGAGTCAGAACCCGCGCGTTTAGTCTTACTGGATCGCTTAGCCGGGCCAGAAGCCAGTCGACGAGTTGCCTTCGCTTGCCTGATGACTTCCCTATGGCATCACGAGCTAAAACTATAAAAACGGAAGTTGGCAGTGGAGTAGCCGTCAAACCAGCGGCCGTTACGGGGGCAAAAGAAGTTACCGAGACGAAATTGCGCTGAGAGACAGGGGAAGACATCGACGCCGATTTCGTTGACTTGCGAGATAGTTGAGTACTCTTGGAATGAGATGACGTGAACGCGGGTTGCGTCAAAGCCGGCGATCCGGAAGGGTGTCTAATGGAAGTGGCAAGTGACTGCCCATTCGAAAAAGCTTGGCCCTAAATTTTTTAGCCCTGTCGGACTCAATGGAGTGACAGCCAAGAGTAAAGTTGAATCCATCACGCTGTTGACAGCCGCTTCTTTAGAGCCAACTGGTTACAGTGGTGGCGACAGAGCTGTTTCATGTGGCAACGAGACAGCGCATGAGACTACATTAGTACTTGTAACCAGCTCTTGAACAGGGATCGACGATATCAGGGATGAATGCGCGCACGAGCAACGACGGCGAGCTCAGCAAAGAGATGGGACTCGACGAGTGAGTCACTAGATGCGATTATATAACGCGTGATGATGAGACAGGACTCGACGAGCGAGTCACATGAGGCGGATACGATACGCGCGGTTTAGAAACATGACTCAACGAGTAAGTCGTATGAAGTGGCGATGACACGCGCGGCGAGAATAATGGACCGTCGAGTCAGCCACTGGAGCAGCGATGGTGCGGACGGCGAGTAAACAGAACTGACAATTCAGTCACAGATGAAACCGATGACGTGCATGGCGAGTAAACAGGACTTAACACGTGAGTCACTGAGGGCGTTGATGATGACATATGTGACAGCAACCGCTCAGGAGAACAGGTGTTATCAATGCAGAACGAGCTTCGCTCGGCAAGATGCCGCATACAGATGACCCAACTGAGTCAATTCGAAGAGATGGGACCTAGGAATCTGCTTCCGGCCCAAGCGAGATAATGCCAGAGAGCCTTTGAAAAGGAGTCGACACATCGGGAGATCAGGTCGAGCTCGCAAGAATTTACTCCGAAAGCTTCTAATCCAGTAATTGCCGCGGTTGTAAGGCCAGGGTCGACCGGCTGCGGTATGTGGTGACGTCAAAGCATGATTATTTGTCCAGCGCATGTTCGGCGTTGGTCTTCGATCGAACTACGAGTAACGCGTGAAGATTGATCACCGCCAGTTTATAAAGCCACTGTGGCCTCCATCGGCTGGCGGTGATACGTCGTCGCAAACTCGTGTTTATACGCTTGCTGAGTCCGACCTCAGCAAGACGTTATTAAGTATTTAATCTCGCGGTCCTGCTCGTGAATAGCCGTATGTAAGCTGGCGATTATCCTATCAGCTGAAACGAGGCGGTCTGCCCGCTGAGGTGAGACACGCGCAGCCTCCGTCTTTAAGGTGAAGATCGACTTTTTCAGATACTTTATCACCTCGGTGTTCTTCAACGCCGGCGCTTGCCAAGTCGCCGATTCCACTTCAGTCGCTATAAGATGAGCAGAACAGTCCATCGACTCAGCGATTGTGGCTTCCATTCGACGTCGACAAGTGGCACTATTTCGCTTAAATTGCACGAGATCCACGCAGAGTCGGGCGACCGAGTCCAAATGGTCTGTCGACTCGACGACATTACCATTCGCAAGAGTGATACGATCAACCAATGAATATGCTTGCTTGATCGATTGATGCTGCAAAGCGCCTAAAAGAGGATGCGGCGTCTCCAGTAGAGAGGCTACGATGTTCTTAAAGTTGATATCATGCTGCTGGTTCTGTTGGTCGATTCGTGCTAGATCTGATGAATTTCAATGACCCCGGCAGATTTTTTGGGACATTGAATCTAAAATGGGATCAGCATGAACTTATGGAGGTGTCACGTCAGCGACTCACGACTGAACTAAGCCAGTACTACATCGGGCGAGTCGAGAGATGGAAAATAGGAGAGACATTTTTCAGCTGGTGCTGTAGCGGGGCACCCTGAAGCTTGTACTGGTAACAGTACAAGCTACTTATTCTGATGACAGAATAAGGCGGTGCCTCGTAACTTCACGTACACTCGTACGTGCAGAGGAAGACGGTAAGGAGAAGCGAGTACTTAGTTAAGTAAAAAGTAGAACTGTATTTATCATAGTTAATGTCTGCAATAAATCACTATTTATCTTTATCTAACTATGTCTGAATACAAATGTGTAAATCAACTATCTGCTCACCACTCATTGCGTGCGTCTGTCGTGGCGCGTCTTCGTTGGTTGATATAATGGCCTATATCAACCAATTAGGAACTACTCGTAAGTGCTGCAGAATATTTGTCCTTATGACAATATTCTGAGAATATAACTCTTATAGTTATATTCTATTAACAGTTTCTTATAAATTGTTATGTAACGATTCACCCCGATACATCACCCCCCCTTAACCATCAGTCACTTTAGTGACTGATTGACTAAATGGATACTCGTCCCAAATCATTTGGGACAGGGTTTGCACTTGTTGGTCCGAGTCCAATTCCCAACATTCATCGCATGGTTAAAAAGCCCATGCGATGCGCGAGCAAGGCCGCCGAGAGAGCGTCCGCACGTCTCTGTGCGGACGCCGAAGCAGAAACCACAGCAACTGATGTCTCATCGGTTGCTTAAGCGACTCAGCCTGTGCCACTTGGTGATACAGGCGCTGGTCATGAAGACACTCATGTCTTCACAGAGTATGAGCTCGGTGTCTCATACTCTCCTGATACGGAAGACGGATCCGTATCGACGGCGATTGGGTCTAATCAGCCTGCCAAGCGTGGCATGGATGATGCTATGCGTCGTAGCATCTTTGGTTCATCTGATGAATCAGATGAACCATCGCCAAAGCGAAGGCGCTCGAGGTCGCGAGACTCGGGCGCTAACAGTGGTGTCGGTTCTCCTGTGGACACCACTTCGCAACGAGGTGCCAGTACTTCTGTCGGCACATCGCAGGAAGAGCGGGACCGCAATGTCTTGCGTCTCGCTCCTGAGAAGAAGGCATAAATGCCTCCAAAGTCAGTCATGGATCGCTTGTCGGCGACGACGAGTGATCTTTATCGAACACGGTTGTTCGATTCGTCAAGGATCCATTACCTTGACCCCAGTGCGAAAGACTATCGCGCTGAGAATGAGTTCTTCATCGATGCTTTCTTCAAACATAGATGGTACAGTGGGAATCACAAACGTGATGGTCCCTCACTGCTTCAGGCGTGGGACGCCTACATCCATAACCTCGAGGATGTAGGTCGTGACGCTTGGAACGACAAACTTATCAAAGCTCGTGATAAGTTTGAAAAACGAACCCCGACAGGTGCACGCTACAAGCTGCATCGTCTGTCAAGGGAGAAAGGATTACCCTGCCTCTCTTGGGGAGACTCGTTCCCATGTTGTGTGAACAACTCTGCACGAGCACCTAAGGAGGCTTACCTACTTACTAGCCCGTGGTGGCGCGTACGTATCTCTACTGAGATGTACGAAGGGATTGACAACCTGAAATCCCTTTACGACCGTGCCGGGAAGACTTTCTCCGGCGGTCCTTCTGCGGCACAGGATGTGCCGCGTCCTACTGCTCAACCAGACCCAGTACGTCAACCATCAGTTGGGAGCGGGGCTCCCAAGTATCCCAGGACGGGGGATAGCCGCGCCACCGGACAAGATAACTCGTCTGACGTCCGTTCACGTCGCGGTGGTTCAACAGCTGCTCAACTAGATAGCGCTGGCCACCGCGAGAGTCCTCTAATGGAGGTGGAGGAGGAGGAAAGACGCTCTCCACACGATCGTCGGGATCCGTGTGTTCCCGAGAGCTTCTTTGATCGCGTAACGCAAGGGTTACGCGGCGATCTCGAACATGAGCGGGACAGGCATCTCCAAATGGAGGACACTGTCTCGAAGCATCGAGCTGAGTTTGCCTTTGCTCAGCTTGAGAACGAGAGAGCTCTGACATCTCTTCGTGACGAGCTAAGGGTAGCTCGTGGGATTCTCGATCGGTCTCGGGATAAGATAGCTGCTCTTCAGACCCTTGTCGATGCCCATCATCGGAAGCACAAGGCTCTCTGCGAGATGCTTGAGCGCAAGGGCGTTCTTCATCGGAAGAAACATCGTACTGATGGTACGGCTTAAGCCGACCAACGTAAAACGTGGGATGCGTCCGCATCTTACGTGGCAACTCGATCGTGTATGCATTGCCTAGTCGGTGCAATACACGAAATGGGCCGATGTACTTGGATAGTAGTTTACTGCTACCCAAGTTAGTCACTACATGTCGTGGTAGATTAACCGTAGACAGTAGGACTAAGTCACCTTTATTAAATAAAAGAGTGTTTTCCCTTCCATTCTTTTCAGCGTTTTGATTTTGCTTAATCCACCGCTTCGGCGATGGAGTCTTGCACAAAACGGACTACCGTTTCACGAGCCAGTATGAACTCATTTGATGACTCGTTAACTTCAGTGCGCTGTGAGCGCACTGCAGCAACATCAACCTTTTCTTCAGTGAGGGCTTCCGCACTCTCACTGGCATCATCTTCTTCAATATCGATGTTATGGATATCGGCATCAAACGCAATGACCTCTTCGTCAGAGCGTGATGAGCGTGATCCAAATCGGTTTTTGCTCGCGCGAGTCCCTCCCCCCCCTTAAACCAGAGTTACACTCTAGTAAGGTGGGTACACGCGGATGGCGTAAGCCATTCACGTAAAACGGTGTATGTGTCGTGGAAGCATGCACCGAGCTGTTAATGGCAAAATCTACCATTGGCAAGAACTCACTCCAACTCTTAAAGGAGTGTACGTATCCTCGAAGTATCTCTTCGAGGACACGATTGCCTCGTTCCGTCTGACCATCTGACTCTGGATGATCAGATGCAGACATCTTCAAGCGCGTTCCGAGTGATTTGAACACGGAACGCCAGAAATCAGCAGTGAATCGTGGATCTCTGTCTGATACGAGTTCACGGGGCAACCCATGAAGTCGGAAGATGGTGTCAATAAAGACACAGGCACAGCCACTTGCCGTGATTTACTCTGGTACAGCCACAAGGTGTACCATTTTGCTGAATCTGTCAACAAATACGAGAATACCCGTATTCCCGCGTGCGTCTTTGGGTAACCCGAAGACGAAATCCATTGAGATGGATTCCCAGCACTCAGCCGGAACCGGTAGAGGCTGTAAAGGTGCACGCAGTGAAGGACTTGACTTCACTCGTTGGCAGACTTCGCATGCGCGAACATACTTTCGCACAAACTGATACTGGCGGGGCCAGTAAAAGTCTCGACTCACCGTGAGGTATGTTTTCTCCCGGCCACGATGTCCTCCTATAGGAGCATCGTGATACTCGAACATGATCCGCAAACGCAGATCAGTATCATCTGGAATGACAACACGTGGTGTGTCACCAGAAACGGCTGTATAATACAGTAAACCGTTGCGAGTAGTGTATCGATCTGATGCAGATCGATACGCAGACGACAATCGTTTCAACGATTCTCGAGATGGTTGGGAGAGATGTGTCAACAACTTCACTATCTCACCAGCTTGGGCGTATGCCCGCCTCACATCATCATACAACGTTGTAGATGGGACTGAGGACGTCATAACCGCAACAGTGACTGTCTCACTGTTGGGTTTCGCGACTGTTTCAAAGTCGGGACGACGTGAGAGTGCATCAGCGACGACATTAAGTCGTCCTGGTTTGTACTCGACCGTAAAGTTGTATTCTGCAAAGAATGACAACCACCGCGCCATTCGTTGTGAAAGGTGCGGGCTGTTCACTGCCGTGCGTAACGACGCATGGTTAGTGTAAACAATGAAGGGTCTATCTCCTAATAGATAGACTCTGAACTTCGCGAGTGCATACTTCATGGCAAGGAGTTCCTTGTCATGCACTGGATAGTTCCGCTCAGCTGGTTGCAGCTGACGCGACTGATAGCAGACGACGCGTTCAACGCCTTCTAGGTCGTACTGCATTAATGCACAGCCGATTGCGAAATCGCTGGCATCACAGACCACATGAAATGGCCTGTCCTGATCGGCTATTGCTAGGACTGGGGATTGTATCAAGCTCTGCTTGATACCATCAAAGGAGCGCTGACATTCAGCGTTCCATAACCACCTCTCGTTCTTTTTCAACAAACGAGAGAGATGTACAGTTATCTCGGCGTAATTGCGTGAATACTTATGCAAATACGCCGCTAGCCCAAGGAATTTTCGAAGACCTTTGACATCAACTGGAACAGGCCAGTCGGTGATCGCCTTGATCTTTTCGGGGATCAGGACGTACACCGTTCTTACCAACGATGCACCCAAGAAGTGGTATTTCGCTTGCTGCAAATATACACTTCTTGAGGTTTGCATACAATTGATGCTTTCGCATGATTGTAAGAACCTGTCGGACGTGGTACCTGTGAACCTCAACGTCCGACTTTCCGTCCATAGCTCGACTATGGATGAATACGTCATCGAAATAACTCGGCGCGAATTCTCGTACCGGTCTCAACAGATGTAATACACATCTGATGAACGTGGCAGGGGCATTACTAAGCCCTTGTGGCATTACTAGCCATTCCCAGAGCATGCCGCTAGGCGTGCTAGCTGCGGTATAGGTTATATCCCGTTCTCGCATAAGGATTTGATAGAAGCCATCCATCAAATCCATGGACGAGAAGATGGTACTCTTTGACATACCATCAATGACTACGTCCTTCCTTAGTATCGGCGTCTGATCCGGTACCGTTGCAGCATTCAACTTGTTGAACGCGTGCACTACCCGCCACCCTCCTGTTGCTTTTCGCACACAGAAGGTCGGAGAGCTATGTGGGGAAGTTGATTCCCTCACATGGCCCGCAGCTAAACGATCGGCAAAGAACTTGTCGATCGCAAGTACTTGTTCACGAGGCAGTGGCCACTGCTTCATGACACAGTACTTCGAGCCTGGTTTAAGCTCGACCTCGTGTCGAATACCTTTATCCTTCGGTAATTCGCACGGAACAGTTTCAGGGAATACATCCTTGAATTCAACCAAATCTTCATAGAGAGGATTTGTCTTGAGCGATTCCCTTGATTGAGAGTCATATCGCTCAACTCGTGTCTTTTCATCGAGGACACTCTCGTCCATTGATGAACTACTGAGAACTCTCTCGTTATCAGTGAACACTGTTGCTGACCTTATGTCGGTTACACACTCGTCGTCAGCGACGAGTACGCAGATCTGCTTGACTTTGCCACTACGCAGATCACGCAAGAACCTTTTATGTTCGAGCGTTGGCAACTGAGTGATCTCCGAAGTCAACTTCGGAGGCGCAATCAGATCAAGTGTATAAGCGCCTACACTTGATCCGTCATTGACTAGGACATTTAGTGTCTCTGTCATTTCCTGGGGACTTATTCCCTCAGGCTTCGAAGGACTTATTCCTTCGGCTTCCCGGGGACTTATTCCCGCGGGTTTCGGGGAACTTATTTCCGCCGTATTTGTAATATCGGGACTTATTCCCTTTAGTTCCTCTAGCCGGGGTTGCGCAACCACAGCGAGATCCTCTACGAAAGACTCTCCAGTCGATCTAGGATTATCGTTTCGCTTAACCTGAGCGATCGATTGTTTCTCTTCTAGATGTTCCCCGCTAGGGATACATCTTTGTCCCGGTCCACCCGACTTATTCGAGTGGTGGACCTTCGGCGCAGCCTGTGTTTCCTCACAGCCGCCGGAACTTTGCTCCGAAGTGTAACCGTTTGTTACACTAAGGTTTTGTGCAGTCTTACTAACGACCGTACCACAAGTGAGGCCATCGCACTCACTCGTAGTACATCCACACGCTTGTGGACGCTCCAAAACGTTCATCAGATGGCCATCTGATGAACAAGCGGCAGGCATCGTTACAGTTCGATGTTGCCAGTTTACCCGTGGTTCGTACCTTCTGAGCCACAGTATTCCAAGGATGACATCAAATTTGTCATCCAAATCCAATACGATAAAGTCATCGTCACATTGGGTATCTTCTAGCGTATAGTGGATCTTCACTATACGCTTCATGACGGTTACGGATGCGCCTGTCGCAAGACGTACCGTCATCCTCGTAGGAGGTGTGTCACACTCACTGAACTTGAAGTGACCATCTTCTGGCGATTGGCGTCGCAAAAATTTGTTGGACGCCCCACAATCGACTAGAGCTCGAAGGGACAACTTATTTGTCGCTTCGAGTTTCAAGGTAATGAGTGAGATCTCATTACCTAGAGCAGCAACGCACACTGTATGTGTGTTGGGTGCAACCTTCATCAAGAGGCCTACAAATTCTCTTGACGTTGCTGGACCAGTAGGGTGCTCCGCACCTACTGATCCTGTCCATTTTTTGACGGTCCATCCCGTTGTTGCGTCTCTGCACCAACAGCGGACCCGCGTTCCTGCCCCTTTCTCATGGGTGGACGGTCACTACGCCCAGTGTCGCGAGACACTGGACGAGGGGCACTACACTCGTAAGCGTAGTGTCCTGTCTTTTGACATCTGTTGCATTTCTGCAACTTCTTGTAGTCTGTAGATCGAGCCTTCTCGCTCTCTACATAACAGAGTTCCATCGGCTCTGGACCTCCGCTGTCATATCGTCTAGGTTGACGGTATGATGTCGAGCTGGCGCGAGCCTGTCTCAGACTGAAGTCTTCCTGCTCCGCAATGGAAATGGCATGTTCTAGTGAATCTAGTTCAAGTCGGAACAGGTGAGTCTTGACGGGACTATCCGCAAGACCCTGCATGAACACCGAAACCAACGTGTGTTCATCAACCGGATTGGAACTTATACAACGCGTGAGATGTCGTATATGTTGCGCGTAAGCGTACACATCACGCTTACCCTGCTTGAGCTTCAAGAGTTCGGTTCGAGCTCTGAACTCAGCTCTAGGCGGTTCAAACGTTTGTCTGAGCCGCGACTTGAAGACTTCCAACGACCCAAACGCATATGGGTCGTGCAACTTGAGTCCCAAAGCCCAAGTCTTGGCACGTCCTGCCAGATTTGATTGGGGAAAATGCAACTTGCATATCCCCATCGTCGATGCGACGCGCCCTAATGGCGTCGTCTAATTCGAAGGACCATCTCAGGAGGGAGTCCTCTTCGACTCCCCTATACTTGGAGATGTCAATCTTCAAACTCTCGGGTCGACGCGAGTGCATCGACCCACCAGCAGCAGCCTGCTGCTGTCTCAACAGTTCAAAATGTTGAACACCCTGTTCTATCAACAACTCTGCTTGTTGAGAACCTTGTTGGTGAAGCAAGGCTACTTTCTCGCGTTCAGCGTCAAGTTCATTTTGAATGAACTTGGCGATAGTAGCATGTTGGGCATCTTTATTGAGAGCCTCTAGCATGACGCTAACAGCATGGATACCCATAGTTGAACCCATCCGTTCAACCGCATCCCATTCGACATTGCTCAAATGGGAGTAGCCGTCACGCGTAGCGTGAAAGCTTTGGTCATCTTCATCGTCCAACATATTCATGTTAGATGTGAACGTGGTCCTTGGACGGACTACGAAGTGCTACCAGGTGTAACGGGGCACCCTGAAGCTTGTACTGGTGACAGTACAAGCTACTTATTCTGATGACAGAATAAGGCGGTGCCTCGTAACTTCACGTACACTCGTACGTGCAGAGGAAGACGTTAAGGAGAAGCGAGTACTTAGTTAAGTAAAAAGTAGAACTGTATTTATAATAGTTAATGTCTGCAATAAATCACTATTTATCTTCATCTAACTATGTCTAAATACAAATGTGTAAATCAACTATCTGCTCACCACTCATTGCGTGCGTCTGTCGTGGCGCGTCTTCGTTGGTTGATATAATGGCCTATATCAACCAATTAGGAACTACTCGTAAGTGCTACAGAATATTTGTCCTTATGACAATATTCTGAGAATATAACTCTTATAGTTACTTTCTATTAACAATTTCTTATAAATTGTTATGTAACGATTCGTTCCATTACACGGTATGTGTACGACTCGATGGAACCTGTACTTATTCCGTTTAGCAGCTTATCCAAAATTAGCGAGAATGCTTCACATCACCCGTCTTGTATCTTGCACGTACTCTTCATCTCGTTACGTTCGTTCTTCACGTAGCCCATTACGTATACTTTCACAGTGTGGGTGTGTGTGACAAACACGCCCCACGCTTTTTCTCCTCTCCCCGGATACCTTTTTAAAGTAGTACCCGTGTACCTTTTCTCTCTCTTCATCTTTTGTCATCTATCTCGATTTCGTCGACCTCAATTGCTCGATCTACCTTCGTCTCGTCGTCAGAGTCGGCTTTGCACTCATTTGCTTCGACTTTGCCGTTGAAAAAACTCCAGATTTTGCTGTTCTCCCGTAGAAAGCTTAAGTCGAATGAAAAACCATATAGCTCGTAGTGGATTGCTCGGAAACTGTTGAACAATTGCACACCCTCAAATACCGGGTCTCGCACCAGTTGTGGTATGGTAGCTCGCTAAATATGTAGCAATACAGCCTTAAACGTTCAAACATAACATTCGCCGAATTCATTCGGCAAAACGGTCTAGTTAGTTAAAATGAAGTCATACAGCGGTCCTTCCCTTTGGGTTCAGTTATGGCCTTCGGCAAACTATTTTTTTACAACCCGTTCCTCTAGAAGACTGCCTCCTTTTAAGCATCTTTCAAAACTCTCACTCCTGTAACTCACACCAATTAATGGAAATCGAAGTATTCACGCTCTTACAGATCGCCGAGCGGAATGTACGTGGAGTTGGTTGTCAAAACTGTTTGAAGAGATCCCAATCCACTCACTGTGCTGGAATGTTGACTGTCGGAGAGCACCCGATGCCGCTTGTGGAACTTGACTCACCTTGTGTACCCGTCGGCTTGATGGGTTTCACTCTTTGGAGGACTTGGTGTAGATGTAGACGTAGGCCTCGATGTAGGTCGACCGGAGGGGGGGCCGAGCGAATATGCTTCAGTCGAAGTCCAGTTTAAGCGGCCACTCGATAGACTTGGTCGAGAGTGGTCTTATAACCATTGGTTTAGGTGCTGATGGCGCTTTGCCTTTACTTGTCTTAGCTATATATATCGCCTGGCCTTTATGTGTCTTCTACCTTACCACTGGGGAAAGGAGACCGTCTCCAAAAGCGTGCTTGAGTTCGAATTGCGACTCTACGAACCCACATGCCGAATTATCTACTGGATTCTACTTACGCTTGTGTCTTACTGACAACTGTCTATCAGACGGGTTGGCCAAACAGGTATATGGCCCGGTTATGTCGGTAGACTTACAAGTTTCTTAGCGCACGACACGTCGTGCTACTTGGATCGCAAATTGATATTATTTCATATTGTCCATTACTTTAAACTCCTTTAATCTATCCTTGGCTTGCACCTAGATTCGCTATGATGATTGGCCAGGATTTACTAAACCTGGAGAAACGAAGTCGATTTATGGGTGATCAGGTCGGCCGGTGGGTGGCCAGGTCGACATTCGGGGGATCGAGGTCCACCTTGAGCGACCATGACCAACCGAAGAGTTAAAAACGATTTTTTTTGGTAACGTTTACTAGTACCGTCGGTCGGTTTGATCAGTTAGCAGTAATCTTAACCGCTCGTCACGGTTGGACCCAACGGTCGCTTCTTACCTATGACCCCAAATTTTCTGGTCCCGTTCCCGGCCGCAAGGCTCCATATTCGCCCGGATCAACGGCCCTTAATTCTATCATTTTAGATACTCGTCATTACAGTCGCCCCTTGCACTTGTTCGACTGTACAGCGGTTTGAGCACGGGCACGTCTTCACAACCCCAGTCTTGTACACCCTACTTGTTCTTGTGGTCGATATCTGGACATCGTCAAAATTGTGTGCTTGCAGCGATGTCTTCACCTGAATCCAACCCACTGTCCGAGGTTCCGGCTCCAACTCCGGCTTCGCCAACACCTGCACTCTCAGCAAAGGTCTCTGGCCAAGCAAATCTAGTTGCAACATCGCCTGTCGCATTCGGTTCTTCAGAGTCGTTCTCGTCAGTTAACACTGTTGAGGCCGTCATACCATGCGGTCGACTCCGCCACCAATACAGTCGGCTCTGGTCGCCTCGGGTGTGAGGTCGCCCCCAGTCGTGACCGTTTTTTTCGTTGTTGCCGTAAGTGCCGCTCCCGCCGATATTGGTTGGGCTTCACCGGTCGACCTCGTCGGTGGTCGGTCGACCACAAGCGTACCAATCGTCACCGTGGTGGCGTTGTGTAGCCGTGTCGAGGCCTGTGAGGGTCGGTTGACCATGACGTCTCCTTCACCGCACTAGTGGTCGCTCCGATGTGAGCGATTTATACTAGAGTTAGGTGTCTCCAACGGTCTCGTGTCGCAGCTTCGTGAGAAGCTGCAGCGTAAGATGGTGCTGACCAATTACTGGCGACAGCACGTATAACTTCACCGTAGCCGGATGTCTCTTTTCGTGACAGAGCTCAGCCGCTTCGATTTGGCGGGCAAACCTCTAAAGGGTAGCCCTGATGTTACTCAAGGGACGCCACAATACTAGAAAATGGACGATCGAGCCCCTTCTCCCGTCGCCGGCAAGCGACCATAGTGGAAGTCTTCTCGCTCCTTAGCCCAGACGGCTATGCGGATAAAGGTGAGGGCGCCGACGTTCCGATGGCGGCAAAGACAAATTATAAGCGTTTCAGGAAAGCTGCATCGCCGACCGTTTCGACGTCTTCCGATGTGAGCCTCAATTCCGACAAAAAACCGATCCGGGCCCCCATGGCTCAATTTTGGTCTTCCCGTCGTCGGCCGGAGAACCGCGTCTCCGCTTCCCTTTCAGCCATAACGACTCCCGTGCCGAAGGCCTTGACCCCTCGGTCTCTCACCAATGCCATGTTTAAGTCGGTCGGTTCCGAGACCAAGCCGCCTTTTCGTAAAACAGGTGACCACCCAGCTTCGAAATACCTTTTCGTCATCCAGCGACTATCTGCTCGCGCAAGAGGCCATGATACCAAGTCTAACTTAAGCTAGGGTGTTCAACGTTAGAGAAGCGGCGTCTTGGTCAGTCAGCCTAGTCAGTTCCTGGTGTCTCGTCTCCATGACGCCTGGCGACCTGGTCAACTAATTGGATATGCCCTGTGGTTGGTTGGGTCCACCGGATAGATATCTTGATCGGCCAGTGAAGTAAAGATCTTCGCTAGTCACATCTCCCATGGTCAGGAGCCAGATGTCCGCGAAACCTTGTTTGGCTGCTAATGTACCTCTTCCTCGTGTGTTGTTTAGGGTGTACGGTTGGTTCGCTGACCTGGCTGACGTATACACAAATTTGACCCTAAGCATGCTCAGGCTCTCTGAAAAGCTTCCCACTGCCTCTAGATCACGAACGATTAAGCCCGCACAAGCTCATTCATCGCCTCGTACTACAACGCCGGAAGAAACGGTGAAATAAGGGATGTTTGGCGTGGCGTCACATCGTCGGTCAGATCTCTGCAGGGATGGCCGTTCATCGATATAACATCAAAATCTTCCAAAAACCTATCTTCCGGCACCTGCCTCGCCCATTTGTTTTTTTTAATTAGTTGGCTGGGTGTGAAGAGGTGTCGGAACCGGTTGACTTGTTGGCCGCTCTTCACCTTTCGGACTCTACGTGGCCATTGATCTCCCAGTACCGACTCACCTCCGAGCCCCACCCAGGAACCATGGTCGCTCGCCTTCAGAACAAGTTCGCCCCTCGTTCGTAGGAGTAATCACTTACACCACCATGCTTTCAATCTGTTTTGCATCCACATTGTCCGTTGGTTGCTCATTTGCCACTCTGTCATATCTTTTCCTTTGTCAGCCAGCGTTTTACTGCTTTAGTTAATAATGATCAGTCATGGCCGACTCCAAAAAAACCACGGTATGCTTTAGGATACGCTCAGTCACTCCGATTGAGCCATGGTCGATTTCTACATAGTATTTGTTAACCTTAAACCTTTGGGCCGCTCACGGAGATCATGACTAATCCACAGGCGACCAGGCCGACCAACGGGCGACTGGTTTTCTTCCCCACTATTAGTCTTCGTGTCTCTGCATCACCTCAAAACAGGTGTAGAATATTACACTGCGTTCAACTCTCGTAATAAGCTCTACAATTGAGATCCACTTCGCCGACCCATGAGGGGTCCTCATGAACCTGAAACGGATTAAGAACTCACGTCTCTGCCGACCGTAACGCGTTTATGCTGACACGATTTTCTAAAATCTCATGCACTTAATATTCGCCTTCCTCCAGCTCGCGCGTACCGCTATCCTCCGGCAACTAAGTTCGTCAAATTTTACCTGGTCAGCCTTGCCCACTGTCAGCCAGTCACTTAAGCGATTAGGTAACCTCCTGAATCTTTTTAGCTTAGAAATGTGAACATCTGGTAATTATATGTACTACTTATCTTTTAATTTTTTGCCGCGCAGCATGCTACCTACCAATTCCAAAACTCGGAACGGATCATGCCAGCGGGGAGCCATTTCTTAGCGTGCCCTTCCTTAACACGATCTAGTTAGATCCACACTTGTATACCTGGTCGAACCTTATGACAGACCACTTTTCATTATGAGTTATCACCCGCTATTTACAGGCCGACCGCAAATGCTCGTTCATTTGTTCCCTTGATCGCTAATAGTGACTCTGGATAAGATACCTCCATCTTCGAGCTCCCGACCCTTTGCATCTGGTGTTCACCACTGGCAACGTTGCTTCCAAAATGGGTATAGCGTCCTATTTATGGGCCAAATATAACGGTGCTCTTGTCGCACCCTGTCGTGTGCAGTATCTAGTGCAAACGTTAGCCGTTCTGCGTATTCGTCCCAATCCTGCTGCACTACTTCTGAGACGCATATCTTAATAGATCTTATAAGGGTTTCAACCATCCTTTCCGCGGTGCCGTTAACCTGAAGTTGGTAAGCCGTCGTCTCCCGTTGACGCTGGTCCACCACGCTATTAAGCATGCAAAAGAAGTCCGATATTTAAACGGGTCCCGGTCATGGCGGATCGCCTCGCTGGGCCCAAAACGCCAAAAACACATTCTTCACACCCTTCGCCCACAGTCTGAGCAGTTCTTCCAGCTCTGCCTTGGCCATCACATACCCAGTGAATAAGTCGACCCAAATCAATAATTCAGTGTTTTCTTTATTTGACCTTAGCAACGAAGGAATATGGTCCATTTCTATGACTTGGAATGGGTATGTCGCCTCGACATTACCTGGAGTTGTCATATTGAGGGTATGCCCCCCTTTTCCCGTCTCGAAATCGACACGTAAGCCCAAATACTGCTGCACACTTCAAATAAGTCTCTTTAATGGCAATACAGGTGAATTCGATAGTAGGTGCGACCGACCTCTTGGAGAACTCTCTCTAGACTTGAGTGGTAGTGATGTAACACGTAGATCTGGAGGGATTCGGGGATCATTAGTCGGGCAGTTAATTCTAGGTCGCCCTCTTCGGTCTTGTGGACGAAACAGTACACCAGTAATCCTTCTTCGCTAATATTATAATCTCTAGCCATATAGCTGCATGACCGTGCCGAATATGCTGACAGGCCGTCTGGATCCCGATTCAGATACGCCTTCAAACTTATATTTCAGCTCCTCCTCTTGAGCTTACCGGATCCGTTCCACTCGCAGCTGTTGTATTGCCTCTTCTTGTATCTTTTCTCCAGGTATTAAATGGGTGGCCTTAATAGGGTCACTGCAAATACTTTAGCCGTCCGATCCTCGTCTTTGGGGACTTACAACTCTGGCAGTCCGTCTATCACTTCCAAACCTGACCACTCTCCCCTCGGAAACGACTAGACCCCTCCTTGTCTGTGTAATTCTTTACCAGCCAGCTGGTCTGCAATCTATTTTCAATTGCGTGGAGTATCATCGTGTGGGACGTCCACGACTGAAGCTTGTTCAGAGCTCTAGCTCGCAGGGGAGACAACCCTACACAATTCTTTTTTCCACGGCACTGTAGTTTTACTCGTTGACTTTTAGTGTCCGTCTCGTGAAAGTGACTGGCATGAATATACCGTCATAGTCCTGCACCTACGACGATGAGGTATCCCATTCGCTCGCGTAGACAATTATCAGCGCTTTTTTCGATAGGTCGAAATACTGCAAAATAGGCGCTGTATCAATCTTGTTCTTGAGCATAGCAAAAGCCACTTGAACTCGAGATCATTCATCTTCGTCTTCACCCGTAGTCACTGAGTGGTGACAATCTTTAAACTTGCATCGCCACGCGTGGAAGTCCACCTATCTCAACTCCTATAGAATTGACGCGAAAGAAGTATAATCCTCGATAAACCTGCGGTAGTAATTTGTACTTACAAGGAACGACTGCATGGCCTTGAGAGTTGCTGGTAGAGGTAGGTCGACTAGTGTTTGGAGTTACTTAGGGTGGACTTCCAATCATTCTCTGGATTCTAGGTGGCCGAGGTAGTCGAATCTTCGACATCCCCACAAAATCTTGACTGCACTTATTGACGGATTTCAGTGTCGCATACGTCCAACAACCGTTCCAACGTATCGCACAACACGTTCCAAGTTTAAGCGGGTAGAAGTATGTAGTCTGTGTAAGACCGAAGACCTAATATCGAGGGGCCTGACTCCGTGTCTGGTTTCCCCGACGCAAACAGATCTTCTGGCTCGTATAAGCAGGTTCTTGGGAGTTTACGTAAGATCCCGTACAACGTATTGTTTAATTGTCGCTGGTTGATCTGTGGTGCATCCTTGAGACCGAATGTCATTCGGAGCCATTCGAACAGTCCTAACGGTGTGACAAAGGCTGAAATTAACCTTTTTCTGTCCGTCATGCTGACCACCCAAAAACCACTTGCCATATCGAGAGAGCAGTACCACAACGCACCATCCAAGTCTTCCAGTAACTCGTTAATCAGTGGCATTAGGTAGACCATAAGTTTAGTTAAGTCGTTCACCAACCGGTAGTCAATGCACAACCTGATGTCTACCCTATTCTTCTTCACTATGCCTACCATCGGGCTGGCCCACGGCGAAGTAGACGGTCGAATGGTCTTCGCTGACAGTAAACCTTTATCAGATCGGCCACCTTTTTTTGAGTTGATTGCCTACCTTTTGCACGCGTTTTTCGATTGGTCTCGCATTTTCCACGTCGATGTCGCAAATGGCACAACGAGCGGCTGGAGGTAAGGCGTTGCCTTTTCCCATTAGCATACGTCGCATCTTCCATATAATTTGCCTCAATCGACCCACCTCTTCAGGCGTATTCCCATCCGAATCAAAGATATTTGTGGCCTTCAACTCGA